TCGCCGCACTGGCCGCCGCCGCCGCCGCTGCACCGGCTCCCGACTCCTCGTCATACCACCCGGAGTACCAGTACAAGGAGGAGGCCAAGCCGTTCGCCTACGACTACGCCGTCAACGACCACTACACCGGAGCCAACTTCGCCAAGAAGGAGGAGAGCGATGGCCACAACACCCAGGGATATTACTCAGTGGCTCTGCCCGACGGACGTGTCCAGCACGTCAAGTACGTCGCCGACAACTACGGCGGCTACAACGCTGAGGTCACCTACGAGGGAGAGGCCCAGTACCCCCAGTACCACCTCGCCCCTGCCTACAAGGCTGCCGATCCGGCTTACAACCCTGCTGCTGTTCACAATTCTTCCCCTGTCTACAAGGTTGCTGCCCTGCCATACAAGCCTGCAACGTACTCGGCATGAGGGATGCCCAGTGAATGTATGCACGAATGTGGTCTTGTGATTATAATTATTCATAAATATGTCAATAAAACAGCTGCTCAGACGTCCATGTTGTTATTGTTGGTACGCGGTCCATCTCATTAGGCTATATGCACATACTGTTGATGGTGGCGTAAGCGTCACACCATCATCACACCACCGCACCCGATCTACACTTCATGTGAGCGATCAATAACCCCCCTCCGATTCTCCACGTATTGTTTTAGTTTTCGTAGTCAGGGAAACGGTTGCTGCGTTAACTTGACGTCACTGTTCAGTCTGGCTACACCCGGCTGGCCTTCGCGGCATATTAACCTTTTCAACGAGTTATTGGCAAGGGTCAACACTGTTAAAAGTGGATTTGTCGCACGCTCACTCGCTGTTTACAATTTTTTTTTTTGCAGTATTCTTCAACTGACGTTTTCTTCCAACAAAATTATTCCAATCTTATTTGCTTAGGTTCGCCGGCACGCGTCGAACATTCTCTTGATGACTTGATGTGCGACCGTGTGTAATGTGTATGTGTGTGTGTGTGTGTGTGTGTGTGTGGTGTGTGTGTGTGTGTGTGTGTGTGTGTGTGTGTGTGTGTGTGTGTGTGTGCACGCGCGCGCGCAACGCGCGCTGGGTTAGGGTTTTTGCTGGTGTGTGAATTATAAAATCGTATATTGTAAATTCTGCTGCTTCCAGATAGGGCTTTTGTCTGTGGAATGATCACGTACTAAATAAACCAATAACCAAACCACAATAACAGCGATACCGAGCATTGAACATATATACACATCCCAAGCAAATGGAATACTGCAGCTTCCTTGATCTGTCGCCTGACCGCCACGCTGCGCGACTACGAATTCTTTGCTTGTAAAAATTATTGGCAAAAGACTGTAGCCTCAATCTGGTACAAAGAATTCGTCCGCGAAACGAAATGAACAGTGACCGGAGTGAAATGTGTGGCTTATGCAGTGAACCTACGAATATTTGAAATCACAACTAGATGTGGAGAGCGGTGTTGAGAGCGACACATTGGAAAGAAAATGATCAAGCCATCGCTTATCCATCATCATTCGCATTTTTCGTCCAAAATTATAATCCTGATGTGATTTGGCCTTTTTTCTAGAACACATGTGAAGGGCTTCCTGTTCAATCAGAAAAAAACAGTTTGATATATCCGTGTCCTCCTCGCACCCAATACGCTTTTCGTAGCCAAAATTGGTCTGATGCAAAGCTATATTGAATCGATGGGCATGGACCAATAACTATTCATACAGATAAACACAAACGCTCAGAAGTGTAGTTGGTCACTCCATACACCCTGAAAGTTTGCTCACATCGGAAAAATGTAAAAAGGCATTGCCACCCGCCGACCCATCTTGAGTTGAACTATATGACCCAATCTTAACGTCGACGGCCTGACCTGGCCGCCGTTCAAAACTTCTTCCGCTAAAAATTGGTGGCGGGGAGAAGACCTTTCCCGAGCGTGTGTTAATGTTTGGCAACTGGGCGAAGAAAACTACAGCTGATGGGTTGGGGACCTTGAGTTAGCAATGATCTAACACACGGCTGGCGTGGTGTGGCCGTGGTATGCTATATCTAATAAGTTATACTAAAAAAATAGATTTTCAGCTGGCTGACGCTCTGCAAAGCTTGACGCAATATCGAGTATGGGCGCGATGGAATCTTCACGACCTTCAAAAAGCGACAGAAGGCTATGTTTTTCAATGGCAAGCGGAAAAGGAGACCTGGCACCCTCCACATCCGCCTTTCACCACTTGTATCGCCGGTCCGGAGGGTCTGTGAGATCTCTCCTATGCGCGGCATCCCTTGCTTTGTTCCCGATCACAGCGTGACGGTGACGCAGATTATTACAATTCCTTCACTTGGTATAGATGATCTGTGGACCGTTTTTCACACCTTGCCAGGGGATCAGGGAGATAAGGCCTGGATGGGTTGGATAATACCAGGCTGAATCCATGCGGATCTTGGTAGCATCCGATCTCAAGTAACAAATGTGATACATTGTCCTCGCAGTTTTCAACCTCTAGTGGTTTTTCCAGAACTGCCATAAACAGCTTGATCCTCCTGTGCTAAAAAAGCAAGGCCTTTGGTAATGACAGGACAATGAAAATTGCAGGGAAAATGGAACCACGATGGGCATGATGCCTGAGCAGCGAGTCAATGGTTCTTCATGAAATTCCGCATTCACTGTTTTTACTTCCGCACACACGGTATCCACAGGAAGTGACGATTTGTGCCAATCAGCTGGCTTTTCCGCCCACTTTCAGACTTGAGGTGAATTTTTGATGATTCTACATGTTCTTCCTACACTGCACAGTGAGTTGTGCTGGGCAGCTTGCCCTGCGCATCAGACGGGCCGCAGGGCTATTCAGAAACGGTTCTTGCAGATATTACATGTTATGCATCCCGCATTGCAACCAATCACGCTCTGTTATTGGTTTCCATGTTAAGCTACCGTTTCGATCTTCACCATCCATTCCCAAACCTCTGCGCGCGAAGTCCTAGCTCGGTGTCATGGGTCTGGGTAGAGCGGTAAGCGCCCGAGGCTGCTGCAACTGAGACGGGTCAGCGGCCGCAGGGTCGCCGCGTGTGGAGACGGACGTGACCAACAGGGAGTGGCCGTGAGAGCCCAGCTGGGGGTCCATCGCTAAACGGTCGCATGCGGAGGGATCGGGCCGTGACCTCAGGCCATCAGCGACTTGGAGCTGGCGCTTAAAAGCGAAGGCATTGTGGAGAAGGTATCAGTTGCACTGCATTCTCCGCCATCAAAGCTTGTAGCATGAAGGTGCGAAGTAGTGGTTCAACTAGAAGTACGATATTGCTCACAATGGTTGTCATCTCATCTGCATTTGTGCACATACAAAGTGAATGAGATGTCAAATTCAGGCTATGAATCATAAGTACAGGAGCTATATAGCTACGCGGAACTTCTCAAAAACACTTAAAGACACGATATCAGTTCCGATCAGGAATCAATTTCAGTGGGAATAACGTACTACATTTCCACCTTCAGGTCTTTGTCGCCGTCGCCGCCCTGGCCGCCGCCGTCGCCGCTGCACCGGCTCCCGACTCCCCGTCATACCACCCAGAGTACCAGTACAAGGAGGAGGCCAAGCCGTTCGCATACGACTACGCCGTCAGCGACCACTACACGGGCACCAACTTCGTCAAGAAGGAGGAGAACGACGGCCACAACACCCAGGGATATTACTCGGTGGCTCTGCCAGACGGCCGCATCCAGCACGTCAAGTACGTCGCCGACCAGTACGGCGGCTACAACGCCGAGGTCACCTACGAGGGAGAGGCCCAGTACCCCGAGTATCACCCCGCTCCTGCCTACAAGGCTGCTGCTCCGGCCTACAAGTCTGCTGCCAATGTTTACAAGCCCGCGAACAGGGCCGCTACTCTCGTCCATCAGCCAGCCGTCACCGCTGCCTATCAGCCCACTTTTCTGTCCTACAAGGCTACCACTCCAGCCTACAAGCGCACCTTTAAGCCTGCTGCCCCAACATACGGGACAGCTGCCCCTGCTTACCAGGCAACTGCACCTGTTTACCAGACCACTGCCCAGGCCCATCAGCCTGACTTGAAGTCTGCTGCCCCCGCGTACACTGCTCTTTCTCTTTCCTACCCCCCTGCCCTCCCGGCCTACGCATCTGCTGCCCTGGCCTACACATCTGCTGCCCCGGCCTATACAACTGCTACCCCGGCGTACACATCTGCTGCCCCGGCCTATACATCTGCTGCCCCGGCCTACACATCTGCTGCCCAGACCTACACATCTGTTGTCCCGGTAGACAAACCAGAGGCCTCTCCGCACAAGTCCTCGACCTCTGCCTACAAGTCCTCTCATAAGACGGCTGCCCCGAGCTTTAAGCCGGGTGTGACGTATTAGGAACGAGCAAGTTGTGTTGGCGTTTTGAAGCTGTGCGTTGTGATGTGACTTTATGCGATGTATATAGAGAGAACGTTTTGTTAAAACAGAGCTTTTCTCGAAGCTGGTCTTTTCTGTTGGCATGCATATGTCAACAAGCAATGCATTCTGGGAAGATGACACAGCCGTGGTCTGTGGTATATGATAATACTGGCGGTGCCGTATTCCAGAATTCCTGTAGCGCACGTTGCAGGACGCAAACAATATTTGGATGAGCTTGTCCGCAGTGGTGATGCTGGACATTGGTAGACTTTTGAGAGAATACTTACAACATCGTTGTCCTTGAAAGGGAGGCAGTGTTTGGGTCACACTCGTTAAAAGAAATGCATGTTCGGACCACCTTAATCAGATGGCTTACTGCCCCGCTGATCGAACCTAAATCATTTGAAGGGTGGGTTCAGCCCGTGTATACTATTTGTTTATCATGTCCACAGTGTCGCCGATCATTCGTGCAAGGTGTTCCGCTCCGTTACGTGGAGCACCTGCACCCATTCCGTGGGTGTAGGTGCTCTTCTAATATACTTGGATGGGATTTGAAAAGGTCATCAGTCAGTTGCACTGGCAGATCATTAGTCGGCCCATTAGCAGGTCATCAGTCAGTCACACTAGCAGGTCATTACTCAGTCACACCAGCGGGTCATCAGCCAGTTATGCTGTCAGGTTATGAGTCCGTCACATTAGCAGGTCATTAGCCTCTGGAATCTTAAGATTCTGAGCTCTCTGTTATCGCAGCATGATGACGTAGAGGAAAAGTTACTATTTCGACTCGGTAACGTGGTACGCTGCACTTCGACGGTGATTTTCACGAATACCGTGGCGCAAAAAGTTGTATGTATCCAACGTATGAATGACATCTACGCCAACCTTTCCAGTCACGATAATCGACGCACAGTACAGACCAGCAGCACCGAAGCTCTTTACGGACCAGCGCGGGCGACGCGGGGGCCACATCCGCCGGAAACAAGCAGACAGTGGTCGGTTTATTTGTCGCGTGCGACCGCCAGCTCAGCTCGGCTCGGCATCGAGGTTGTCCGTCGGCGCACAAGGAGCCGCAGGGGCGATGGCAGTGACGCGTGACGACAAACCTCCTCGACAGCACCGAACGTCTGAGGCGAGCTGGCACCGGCGAGGCGCGCCAGAGGCCGCCGACCTACCCGAGGCGGCTCGAGCGGCGGAGCCTGGACCGAGCTGTCGCGGCGCCGGCGCAGCGCACCTCCTAAACAGAAGCACCAGGGAGTGGATTGAGCGTGAAGCGTCACGGTCAGATACCAGTGAACGGACGTCTCCAACGGTGTCACCGGCTGCGCTGACGAATTCGCACGGCATTCCTTGTACACGCCCACTTCTAAGGAGCTTACCATAATGTGACGCATAATGTACATGGGCAGATCGTTTAACTTTTGCAGGTGAGGTAGAAGATATATGGTAAAGAAAGTATATTTTATGACGCAGCAGGATCATGTCCATCTTTTTTGGCAACACTCTGAAAGCTAAGCAGTCATACCAAGAGCCTAAAAGCATTTGTATGAGCACTTTACTTTTTGCTCCCATCCCCAACTGACAGCTGTTCTGACTGCGATCCAGTCACGTTTGGTCCCATCGAATTGCAACCCATCGCTTCATTTTTGGTCGTTTTTCATACAAAAGTAGTTATAAAGTGGGTTAAATTTATGGAGAAATCAGAATTTGCGAGTATAGGTATGGTATGAAGGTAGAAGAATGGATATCTGAGATTGGTCATGTCATTAAGATGTCCTCCTACAGGTCATTTCTAACAGAAGCGCAGGCGGCAACGGAAACAGGCCGTCCAATCGTCTGCGTGTTTATATATCCTTGGTTTCCAACTGTTTTCAAGAGTTGGTTAAGCTTTCAGTTAACTTTTACAGGCATGAACCGTGTCCTGTTCAAATGTGTGGATGTCACACTTATCGGCATACGCCATTTTCAACTGCGGATTATGCTCCCAATTACATAACTAGACTTTAGATGACAAAATCCTGATGTGTTGAAAGCGAAATCTTAGTTCTACCCCAGGATTCTTGTTAAAAGCCTTCTTAGCTCAGTCATTCTATGGTGTTCAAGTATTTGCACGAAGGTAAGCCAGGTTTCTAATAAAAGGGAAATCAAATTTAAACCCAACTTAAATGTTTGAAAGCAATAGACCTATTATCATTAAAAAATTACATCAAATGTCAACAACTTCCCAGACTAATTAACGTTATGACATGAGTTTAAAGGTGACGAAGCAAAATAAGTTCTTTAGATGCATCAAAAACTGATGTCATTACCGTTTCTTAAAAACTCTGAGAACTGTGCAAAGAAATTGGTAAGGAGGCGTTAAAAAGTGTTGACAGGAAGGTCTAATGGAAAAGGTGGAAGCAAGATGAGAACGAATGCAGCTTAGTTATATCATATCTCCATCGGAACGATGTACAATAAGAGAAGTAAAACCGTGCGTGTCCGTGTGAAGTAAAGAGAAGTAAAACCGTGCGTGTCTGTAAAAGCGTGTCAGTCTTAGCTGTTAAGACTGCTAAGACTGCCTTGCATTTGAACAAGTGACAAGCATCATGCTATGCACTATGCTACTAAAAATACAACTTTGACCTGGATCATTTAGGTCAACGACCTATTTTGACCTATAAAAGGTATATGGAAGATATATAATACCGTTCCTGTTATCAGTAAGTTCAATGTTAGCACCAGAAACCACGCCATAGAGCAAGCACTGGAGTAATAAAGCAGGTTGGTTTTCACCTCGGTCTCACATTCATACCTGACCCTAGGTCGATAAAACTTGTTCATTCAATTGTTGTGCTGTCTAAGAAAGTATCTCAGAGATATATGGCTGTGCCTAACACTTCGTTGTTGCATCAGATTGAATGATTCTTTAGAAATTGACTTCGCTGAAGCCATGGCCTGAATTTGATCTGCCGTAGATCGGCCACCTTACAACGTATATCCCATTTTTTGTTGTCAGGCAATTTACTATCACATTGTCTACAGCTATCAAAACTTTGCGCGGCTTCACCGTGCCGTTCGGAAGCCATTTCGGAGAACCTCTTGAGCGGTCAATTTGACCCCTACCCGAATACGTGTAAAAACACGTGAAGACAACGACGAAATTTGGGCATTTTTGCGAGTGGAAACGAAAATGTCTCGAGAAACTTCACAGCGGGCACTATGACCCTATGACCCAACCGAACACCCAGAGCCTATTTTCCACCTAACGTGGCAGCTTGATCTCCTGGCGACATTGTAAACGTAGTGTACTTATTTAGCACAACTTGGGGGTCGCTATAACAACAAGGGACAGCATTTTCTCAGCATTCAGACGGTTGCGGGTCAGAGGCGTTTTATATGACCATGTGCTGATATCCACATGTCAAGCAGCTTCGGCGTAATGATTTTACTGGACATCCCCTGTATTCACAATGGACAGTTTTCTTTTGGAAAAACATGTTGACATATTCTACAATTTACCGAAAATTGTAGAAGGTTGCAAAGATAACGCGCTCTAAGCACTAGCCATCCATGACAGGACAAACCTAGTTGTTTTAAATAGCATTGTGGTTTTGAGCTTCGGTTCATGCGAACGTCTTTTCTCACAGCCGGATGAGAGACATTTTGACGAAAAACGTAGGATTACCTCCGTCAAAGCCGCGCGACTCGGACAATTTTTTGTATTTATGTAACGCAGCTCAAGACACGACAATCATCATCATGAAATTATTAATGGATTTAACTGAATAACCGCTCTCATCCCGTGACCTGCACGTCGCAGGCTCATATGCCGGAGCCGAATTGTTATAAGCAGGCCAAGCAGGCATACCACAACTTTGGAGGCTTGCGTCCAGACCACAAGACATAAGCACCTCATTGTATTGAAGTGCAAACGGCGAGAAATCATCACAACTCAAAATTCGTGAACTTCCATGGTCTTCATGAACTTCCATGGAGATAGTCGTCCTCACTGTTTGGCTAGTATGCCAGAAGCTTGTGTGCCGGGGTGGAATGGCTGTACGCATGTTTGTAAACAGCCTTGTAGACCGGAGCAGCAGCCCTATAGGCAGCAGCGGGGTGGTAGTCGGGGTACTGGGCCTCTCCCTCGTATGTGACCTCAGCGTTGTAGCCGCCGTAGTTGTCGGTGACGTACTTGACGTCCTGGACACGGCCGTCGGGCAGAGCCACCGAGTAATATCCCTGGGTGTTGTGGCCATCGCTCTCATCCTTCTTGGCGAAGTCGGTGCCTGTGTAGTGATTGTTGACAGCGTAGTCGTAGGCGAACGGCTTGGCCTCCTCCTTATACTGGGGCTCCGGGTGGTAAGAGGCCGGCTTGTAGGAAGGGGCCGGGTGGTAGGGGGCCGGAGCGGGCTTGTAGCCCGGCGTCTCCGGTGCCGGGGCGGCGGCGGCGACAGCCAGCACGGCGGCAACGACGAGGACCTGCAATGTAGTAGAGAATGTGTGATATATCAAGCGGTTACTTTAATGACGCAGGTTTGATGCGAAGCATCTGTGCAATTTCAGTCACATCGCGAATCCCAGAGTGCACTTGGTGTGAAATGAACTGTCTCATAGCCAACAGGACACCATATCAATGGTATTATTCCAGCCCTCACCTGCATGGTGTGTTCTGAAGGCCGGGTGTGCAGTGCAAGTGGTGTCTGCTCCCTTGGTGCTTTCGCTTTTATTGGTCGGCCGCTAGCCACTGATAGACGGTTATGGTCAGATTTCAGTGAACGGACGCCTCCAACGGTGTCACCGGCTGCGCTGACGAATTCGCACGGAATTCCTGGTACACGCCCACCGGTTTTTGCAAGTGGGGGCGAAAATATCTTGCGAGCCTTAACGGTAGTCGTCATGACTCCGTAACCCACGCAGACATCGAGAGCCACATAACCAAACAACATGACAACTTGACCGCCCGTGGCGCTGAAAACGTAGTGTACTTGCTTAGCACGGTTTAGGCGTCGTCCAGCAACGAGGTAGAAGATGTGTTCAGCCCTTAGGCGGTCGCGGGTCAGAGGTGTTTAATAAGACAATGTGCTGGTTGCCCCATATCAGTAAGTTTTAGCGTCATGCTTTCATAGTACACCGCTTGTAGTGATGACAGAAACTTTTTCATACAAGCTTATGTTCAATTTCTCTACAATGTCAACGAAAATTTACGAAGTCTGCAAACATGAAGCGCTGTAATCATCAGCAGTCCGCCAAAGAACATTGCTTACTTGTCATTATAAATGTTGCTGTTGTCGTTAGCGTCGGTTTACAAAAAAAAAAATTGTCAAAGTCGGATGACATCTGGATCAGGTGGAAGGCGTGGGATTGTCTCCGTCAAAACCGCATAACTCGAACGAATCTTTTATTCACGTACCGCAAGGCAAGAAACGAAAATCATCGTGACGAAAACCTAAATGTACACAAATAGGCACCCGTTGTAACCCCGTTATTAGTATGTCGCAGGCTTATATGCCGGGGCGGCATTGCTGTACGCAGACTTAAGGACAGGCTTGTAGGCCGGGTCGGCAGCCTTATAGGCAGGTGCAGAAGCCTTGTAGGCAGGGGCGGGGTGGTATTGTGGGTACTGGGCCTCTCCCTCATAGGTGACATCAGCGTTGTAGCCGCCGTAGTTGTCGACGACGTACTTGACGTGCTGGACACGGCCGTCGGGCAATGCCACCGAGTAATATCCCTGGGTGTTGTGGCCATCGCTCTCCTCCTTCTTGGCGAAGTTGGTGCCGGTGTAGTGGTCGTTGACGGCGTAGTCGTAAGCAAACGGCTTGGCCTCCTCCTCGTACTGGGGCCCCGGGTGGTAAGAGGCCGGCTTGTAGGAGGGGGCCGGGTGGTAGGGGGCCGGAGTGGGCTTGTAGCCCGGCGTCTCCAGTGCCGGGGCGGCGGCGGCGACGGCCAGGACGACGGCAATGACGAAGCCCTGCAATGCCGTACAGGATATATGACGGATCAGGCGGTCATTTTAATGACGCAGTTTTGCTACGATATATCTCATAACCTCACCCCCGGTGCAATGCATGTCGCATCGCTAAGTCAAGAATGTACATGGCTTAAAATAAACTCTAGTAACCAGCAGGCATCATATCAATGGTATGATTCCAGTACAAACCTGCATGTTGTGCTCCGACAGCTGTGTATACAGTGCAAGTGATGTCTGCTCCCTTGGTGGTTTCGCTTTTATAGGTCGGCCGCTAACCACTGATAGAAGGTCACGGTCAGATTCCAGTGAACGGATGCCTCCAACGGTGTCACCGGCTGCCCTGACCAATTCGCACGGAATTCCTTGTACATGCCCACCTCTAAGGAGTTGACCATAATGTGATGCATGATGTATATGGGCAGATCGTTTGATTTTTGCAGGTGAGTTAGAAGATATATGGCAAAGGATGTGTATTTCATGATGCAGCAGTTTCATGTCGACCTTTTTTGGTAATACCCTGAACCCTAAGCAATCATGCCAACAACCCAGAACTATTTGTATGAGCACTTTATTCTTCCCTCTCATCTCCAGCTGACAGCTGTTCTGACCGAGATCCAGTCGCGTTTTGGTCCATGGGATCACAGCCCATCACGTCAGTTTTGGTGTCATCACCCGGGTATGGCGGGTAGTTCAGAATTTGGGAGCATAGGTGTGGTATGAAGGTAGGAGAATGGATATCTGAGATCGGTCATGTCATCAAGATGTCCTCCTACAGAGCATTTCTAACCAAAGCGCAGGCGGGAACGGAAACCGGCCGTCCAAACAGCTGTGGATATATGTATCCTTGGATTTAAAATGGTTTTAAGAGCTATTTAAGCTTTCAGTTGACTTTCACGGACATGAACCGTGTCCTGTTCAAACGTATGGATGCCACACTTATCGGTCTACGTCATATTCAACCGCGGATTATGTTCCCAATTACATAACTATGCCTTAGGTAACAATATCCTGATGTGATGTAAGCGACATCTTAGTTCTACCCAAGAATTCCAGTTCAAAGTCTTCTTATCTCAGGCATTTCATGGTGCTCAAGTTTTTCGCACGAGGGTAGACCATGCTTCTAATAAAAGGTTAATCAAACTTAAACGCAACTGAAATGTTTTGACGCGATAGACGTTTATCATGAAAAAGTTCACATCAAATTCCCACAGCTTGGTAGATTAATTAACGTTATGGCATGAGTTGAAATATGACAGTAAAATAAGTTCTTAAGATGTACCAAAAACTGATGTCATTACCATCTCTTAAAAAACTTTAGGAAATGTGCAAAGAAGTTGGTGAGGAAGCGGTTAGAAAGTGTTGATGGAAATGTTTACTGGAAAAGATGGAAGCCAGATGAGAAAAAATATACCTTACTTATGTCATATCTACATCGGAACAATACGTAATAAGAGAGGTAAAACCGTATGGTGACTTTCACTCCATCTTCGTTTAAAGTCCGCGTGACGTCGCTGGTGCCTAGACTTCGATGCATGTCATGACGCACGTCAGGACGCTAGTCTCCGCACGTCACGCTGAGAGGCAAACGGAAACCAGACACTTTCGTGCGGATAGTGAAAAGACCAATTGAGAATGTGCATATGACCAGCAAGCCAGTAACGTAGAAGTTTGTGGCAGATATGACGACAGGACGTGCAAGCCCATATGGCAAGCTGTTACAATGCAATGGCACAAGAAGTGGAGGCACCAGTTTTATTCCCATTGGGGTAGCAGGAACATCGGGCTACCTTCATACTTAGAACGAATAAACGTGGTGGCCGACATAGGTGACCAGCGGACCTACCGCGTAGAACTCGTCGGCCAGTTTGATGAACTACGTGACAACCTTAGGGGCAAGCTATTACAATGCAGTTCGAATTTGCATGGCCTCGAGCCCTGTGGATGGGACGCCGTCAGTGATGTGAGGAAGTGGTAAGCGCGGCGAGTCTATTGTCTGCTGTATTTTGTTTTGTCTGCTCTAAGTGCGCCAGATACATTGGCGGCAAGTGCGGTGCGTTGTGGAAGATACTCCATATGCTTTTTGTATGTATAGACGTGCGGTATTTTTACCAGATAAGTGTCGGTCTGTGCAGGACACGTTTTGACTTGCACGTAGTTAGGTAAGGTGGATGACATTTTGTATTGGTAGGGTACTTGCCTACCTGCCTAAACCTGTGACGTTCATAGAGACATAGGTGGTGACGCATCATCTGGCTGAACTTGGCTCCTATGGCAAACGTATGACGTCATAAGGCAAATGGCAAACAGCCAGATTGCGCTGCCGCTTGCATGTCTCACAACTAACGCTTGCACCAAAATTTCCTCACCTAAAGAAACGACGCCATCGTTACGGCAAGCAGAAGTACATAAGTGAGTCACTTTCCGCTATAGTGGCACACCTCTGGCAAGGCAACTCTGGTGAAGACTCTAATGACGTAAAAACGGTCTGCAACATATTAAAAAGATGACGCATAAAGGAGCATAATTACTGAATAATGAAATTGTGCTATTTACACCAGTCCTTTGCCCTTCGACGCATAACAACACTTACAAATGAGTTTTACCATTATAACTGGTGCCCACCTCAATATCTTCAGATGTGGAACAGTTGTTTTAAGGGGCACAAAATCGCATGTCAGGAGTGGTGCGTGTATGAGGTAGTGACTACGGGTCCATGTCAGTCCGTGGCGGCACCAGCACGGTCGATAGCAAACACGTGGGGGCAGTCTGTTCAGTGAGGTAATGACCGTGGCCTTCCATCAATGGTTGGCGGCCGGCCTATAAAAGCGAAAGTACTGCAGAAGCAGGCATCAGTTGCACTGCACACTCGGCCACCAAAACACAGCATGCAGGCACGTGCTTGAACTATGTGGTTGATGTGGCAATTTGTCCCGTGCTAGACATTTTTCCATCAAATGTATCATGGTCGGAAAATAATAAAGATGGTGGAATCAACGACTCATTGATAACATGTCTTCTATGACATTGCAGGTTCTCGTCGTTGCCGCCGTGCTGGCTGTTGCAGCTGCCGCCCCAGCCCCGGAGGCACCGGTGTACAAGTCCGCCCCGGCCTACAAGACGACCTCTTACCACCCGGAGCCCCAGTACACGCAGGGGGCTAAGCCTTTCTCCTATGACTACGCCGTCAATGACCACTACACCGGTACCAACTTCGCCAAGAAGGAGGAGAGCGATGGCCACAACATCCAGGGATATTACTCGGTGGCTCTGCCCGACGGCCGTGTCCAGCACGTCAAGTACATCGCTGACAACTACGGCGGCTACAACGCTGAGGTCACTTACGAGGGAGAAGCCCAGTACCCCGAGTACCATCCCGCCCCTGCCTACGAGGCTGTTGCTCCGGTTCACAAGCCTGTCTTCAATTCTGCTTACAGCTCTCCCGCGCCGCCATACAAGTCTGCGGCATATTAATCAAATACTGAGAACGACCGCCTATTTAATCGTACACACGTTTTGTTATGATGTCTTCTAAATGGTTGTATTTGAATACAATGTGCTACTCAGACTTTCTTGTTGTTTCTGAAGGCAAGCAGTTATTCTCGTTGGGGTAGATGTGTAACTACATGTGTTTGATGGTGGCGTAGCCTTCGCACGATCCGCAGAGTTCCACACCCACTTTGTTGCAGCAAGTGG